GCTTATGCCCATCGAGACCCAGAGGATTAGGGGTATGATTGGTTGAATGGAAGGCAAGGGGCTTCCGAGCAGACACCAAACACTGAGTATCACTCGGTTTACCCCTTTCCCGGGGCCCATCTTCCATTTGTTCATTAGCCTAAGCCCTCGATAAGCGAATACCTAACTGTGGCCCCCCAAAAAGGATTCATTCTCTACCCCCTTACCGTGCCCTTATCGTGCCCTTCTCGTGCACTCAATTAACCCGGGGCCATAACGAGGTTGCCGGGTCCAATCTGTTGACTTGTTGTCTGCCCCTTCGTTTTGCTTTTTTTGGGTTGAAAAATTGCAATTTCCTGTAGCTTTTTGGTGGAACAAATGTAAACATTAATCCATTTACACATTCACAAGATACCACCGATGCTTAAGTGACGTGGTTTTAAAATGTACCAATTAAATTAAGTGCAACCGCAGGCACGAATACGAATGAGCCAAAGCCAGAGCCAGAGCCATCTCGGACTTCTCATCTTCAACTATTCATAACCCGAGTTGAGTGGATAGTTCGATGGCTGTCTGCCTGTCTGTCTGTCTGCCTGTCTGTCTGCCTGTCCATCTGTGGCTCTACTCTGACGCTGCGAGGCTGTTAACTCGTGTCGTGTGTGCCCGGGCAAGTTATTTGCCGCTTAATTTGATTTGCCTTTTGGAATTTTAGTCCATCAGCTGGGGATACATGTCGAGAGTGAGCGGGTTGTACAGCGGGGAGCGGGAAACGGGGAGACTCGAGACTGTTGACTGCTGCTTTGTCACTTTGTGTGATTTATGAAATGTTGTGTAATTAACTATTTATGACTCGGTTTGCCAGATACAAAGTAAACGCTGTTTCCATGGCCGGGGACCTCTTCAAATGTATCTCCGTGCGTGTGTGTGTGTGTGTGCTTAGGGAGTAGTGAAATGTATCTGGCTTAGCATCCAGCTAAAGGCAGCTGGAGTTTGCAGGTTTCTGGTGGCTGCTTGCAGGTTGGGCTTTGGTTGTGTGGCGGCTTTGAGGGCAGGCTGATACACTTCGCAGGGAAAATCTGTTGGCCGGAATTTCAGTTTTTAGCCTTTCATCAGCCCCAAAATATATCCCCCGTCCCTCCTTTGCTCGTCCTTTGGGCAAAGAATTGTCTCTGCTGAAGTAAATCTCTGGAATTTTCAGTGTTGATTGAGACTGACTTTTTATCAGGATTTGCAAGGATCATATAATAATAAAATTATGATTCTAGAACATTATTTCTGATTTTATTTTTATTTTTTGAATTTATAATAACAATTAAGTTTTGAATTTTGTATTAAAATAAATAACAGAAATTGTAAATTAATAAAATAAATTTAAAAAATTAAATAAAAACTGAAGGCATTACTTGTGTTGATTGAGAGTGATTTTTTTTTATCAGGATTCGTAAGGATTCTATAAAAATAGAATAATGATTATATTATACAAAAAAAGTGTGATATATATGTATATACATATATATAATAAAATTATGATTCCACAACTTTATTGATACTTTTAATTTTTTTTTTAAATTTATAATAACAACTATGTTCTGAAATTTGGAGATAAATAAAAACAAATAATAATCAAAAACTAAAATAAATTGAAAAATTAAATAAAAACATTACTTATACTATATATTTTGCAAAGATACCTAAAAATAAATTATTTTTATTTTAAACTTGTATTTTTAAAATCCCACCTTTTTTTTATAGCAAATTAAAAATATCAGCTATAAATCAATTTATTAAAAAAAATGTTGTAAATAAAGCTTGAGCCTGTTCCAGGATACCTTTTGAAGCCGTCAATCTTTTCAACTTTGATTTTTTATTAGCCCGTCCTGGACTCGTATGTGTCCTACGATATTTGCATACCCTCGACGACAATAAATGGGCAAAGTCTTCTCATATTCGGCCCCAAACTGAGAGACTTTAAGTTCTCTCTGCGAATTTAATTTTTTCCCATAAAAAGCGGGAAAAAGTTCTTGTTTCTGTTGCTGTTTCTGTTCGGGGCTCGGTTTGTGTTAATTTGACACATGGAAACCTGTCATCGTCTCGCCTTGTGTGTTCTCATCAAACTCCCGCCAAGAGAGCTCTGTTTAATTATTTACGGCAAAACATTTTATTACATTTTTAGTAATTTAACCCGCAACCGTTACCGCGTCCCCTTCCCCACCAACAGTTTCGAATTAATTTTTGGTTTTCCTTCTCATTTTTTTCACATTTTATTTTCCTCGTTCGTTTGTCACATTTAATTGAATTTATGTAGTTCTTTTTTTGTCGCTTTCGCGTACAGCATTTTTGCATTAATTTTTATGTTTTCAAATATATATATATATATTTTTTCCACATTTCCAACAGACGGCGGCTCTTCAGGCTGTTTTGTGGTCTGGCTGCCGTATTCCTGCCGCCAGGCAATCAAAAGATGAACTGTCAAATTATGCAAATTATTTTCCACAGTCACGCATACGAGTATATGCCCCGGCCGGGGCTCGAAATGTGCTCGGACTCGGGTACGGGTTCTTATCATGGCCAAACAATCGTGAACTCTCACTTTAATTGTCTCTAATATGGTTAACCCATAAGAGACCACCACCTGTGCCTTTCTCAAGGCGTGCTGCTAATTGGCTCGGAAAATCGAAGGGCGAACCCCCCCGCCCCCCTCCCGACCGTACATCAAAGGCAGGGCGCGAGAGCTCTTCCTTCGGACTTATCGATGCGGTCTGTCACCCTGCTCTCTATCCATCCGTCCATCTATCTATCTGTCCCTGTGTCAAAATATTTTCATTGCATTTTTGGGTGTGGTCCCCAGTCCCAGGCCCAGTCCCAGGCCCAGTCTCCCTGTTATTGTTTCTCGTGTTTTGTTAGCAAAGTGCAGTCCAAGGTCTGGAGGATTAGTTGATATATTCCATCGCTTGTTGTTGGTCCTGTCGCAGTTTATGATGCGTACAGGCCGCCCGCCGCCGCCCGTCAGTTCATATTTCGTTCGTCGGCCGACAGTTATGGTGGGAAGTGCTGCCAGCCCCGGGGCTTATTTGGGGCTTAGTTCGGTTTGAGTTTTGCATCTGGTCAGGTGCCTAATTAGGTCAGGGTATGGGCAGGACGTGGCATTCCACATTACAGTGTAGACGACGTGGAATGTGTCCTCGGCATGCCATCAAGCAGCATAATGAGCTTATGTAGGGGACTCCCATTCCCGCATTACAAATGGAATTTTCTAATTTTCGAAAGCGATTAACTAAATTTATATATTTGAAAATAGGCAACTGTACCCCACCGACAGCTGTTAACCCTCTCCTGCTCTCCTAATCAAAAAAAAAATCATGACTCTGCACTAAACAAATTCTAGGGAAAGTGAAAGGGGAGGGGCGGGGGGGCTAAAAAACTATGAATATTCATAAAAATTATTGAACAATAGAAATTGATGATGTGTTGTCAAATCGCCAGCACAAAAATATCCCCACCCTTGATTGATGATATCTAATGACATGGAGAAAAATTCCAGGCGAAAAAATGCTCATATGTGAGACAATATTTTGCCTTTTGGCAAAAGTCAACGAAAAAAAAAAAAAGAAAAAAAAATATGAAGCGAGACTAAAAGGAAAATACGACTCGGTCCAGACAGTCATACATCATAATCATCGTCATTGGAGTGCAGCAGGAAACACCCTCAATATGTGGACTACCCTAACGCCGAACACCGAACGCCGAACGCCTAACGCTTAACCCCTAACCCCTTCCTCTGGGTGACTCTTCGACCCACGCAAAAATAGATAAAAAAAAAAACATAGAGAATCGAAAGAATGGTGTTCCCTGCTGGCAATCAAAGCAAGTCATAGGAAAGGACATGAAATATGATCGATGGGCTGCGTGGCTACTGTGGCACGGTTTTTGGGTTCGGGTTTGGGTCTGGGTCTGGGTCTCTATTCGATTCGGGTTCGGGTTCGAGTCCTCCCGCTGTGACTGTCCACAAAATGGCACAATTAACGTGGCACATCCTTTCAGCCAAATTGTGCTGCTGCCTGCCGGCCCCTTCGGCTCTGGACAACAATTGTTGAACACAGTAAATAAATGTCAGTTCTGCTTGGTTGTCTCTACCCCGCCCCCCCCTCTCTCTTCATCGATAACATAATGACATTTTCGTATCATTTTTCAAATTGTAAAATAAAAAAGAAAAGAAGACATTTTTTTTTTGTGTGTGCTGGAAAACCAAAATTGAAATTGTTTTGTCAGTTGGTGGTTGGGGGGTTGGGGGGGGTTGGGTCATGTGTCCTCTCGCACAGCAGGACTTCCATCAAACATATTGGAGTTTTAATTATGATTTTTTATTGGTTTTTCCCTTTTGTGTCTGTTCGCGCTTAGTGTTGGTCAAACAGTTGTAAAACGATACGACGATACCATTGACGGCTGGACGGGCGAACGGCAACCCTTTTGTAATGAGTTTTCCGAATGTCGCTCAATCGGATTATCACAAGTGTGGACGATCGGAGGGGGTAGATGCGGGTAGTTTCGGCAGGAGGCGGTCGAACAAGAGGGATCAGGGCACCTGATCGCAGACCGCCTAGAGTGACCTCCAGGCCATGAAAGACAAGCCTCTGAAGGGTCCTGGTCCACCAGCTCCATCGGTGTGCCTACACTTCCCGCCGTAGCCCACACCCGCCTTGGGCAGGAAGCTGTAGGCTAAGGGCCACAAAGCTCCATCGTATAGGCACAAGATGGGGGTTTAGAATGCCAGTATCTGTGCGGTTTACCCTCTTTTCTGATGGCCAAGCTTCTCGAGGTCGAGGGGGGCCGCCAAGCCGCGGACATAACCTGCAATAACCCTACTTTCAAACCTCCAACAGAAAGTATCGCAAGTTTGACTGGCAAATGAAAGCAATCGATACTTTTGCCATTCCCCCACTTAACATTTTTGGTATCGATATAAGAAAAGTCAAAAAATGTAGACTCGATTGTACACCATCATCGTCAGTGGCATTGTCAAGCGAGAAAATTAGCAAAAATTGTGCAAGCTATTCCCAAAACGGGCTAAAATCTCGGTGATCAGTGTAGCACAATGCATAAAATCGTGTACAAAAAAAACACGGAGAAGCCGGAGCTGCGCGCTCGCTGCTGGTCCGCCGGTGTGGCCTCCACGATTGTGGCCTGTGTGGTGGCGCCCGTGGACCTTGTGAAAACTCACATGCAGACCCAAAAGAATAAGAAGGGCATGCTGCAAACGGCTGGTAAGGTGATGCGACTGCGAGGTAAGCGAGGAGCTACGCGAATTGCGGTCCGGCGACTAATTATTCTGTGTGTTCCGGGACAGGGCCTTTGGGATTTTACAATGGCTTCTCGGCGGCTGCCCTGCGCCAGATGACCAGCACCAATATCCGTTTCGGGATCTACGAGGTGGGCCGCCATGCGGACGTCGTGCCCAACAGCAATCTGGCCAAGCTGGGACTGTCGGGCTTTGCCGGAGCCGCGGCCTCGATCTGCGGCATACCCATGGATCTGATCAATGTCCGGATGCAGAACGACATGAAGCTACCGCACGGAGAGCGCCGCAAGTAAGCAAGTTTGGCCTGTGAACAGCCGACAATTTCATGGATTTCTCCCCCCCCCTCACGATCCTAGCTATAGGAACATCGTCGATGCCTTCGTCCGAATTTCCAGGGAGGAGGGCTGGCGGGCCCTATACACCGGTGGCACTTCGGCGGTCCTCAAGGCCGCGGTGAACACCTGTGGCCAGATAGGGCTGTACGATATTGTGAGTACCTTGGATATGAGACAGCGGACAGACTGATGAGCCTTCTCTCCCCCCCTCCCCCACGTCAAGGTCAAGACCAAGTTGAGCACACGATTCGGCATGAAAGATGACATCGTTCTGCACTTTGATAGCTCTCTAATATCCTCGATCTTCTCCACGGTCATCTCGCATCCGTTCGACGTTCTCAAAACGCTTATGATGAACGCTCGACCCGGGCAATTCCCCAGCATTTCGCATGCCCTGAAGCACATGATGCGGTTTGGCAAGCTTGGACCATTTCGAGGACTAGCACCGACCATGTTGCGCAAAGGACCGGCCACAGTTTGCCTCCTCGTCTTCTACGAACAGCTGCGGCTGCGCTTTGGTTATGTGGACACCAAGAAGCGGGATTAGGGGCCACAATTTTGGGCATTTGATTGCAGTGTTGTGGGGGGAACTTCAGCTCTTCAGCTGGGCCCGAGGCCTGTAATTACAAATTGCTTAACACATCAAATCGAAACGTCTCCTTTTATCAATAAATTATTGAGGACTGCGAACAGTGATTCCCTTTGCCAGGCCAATTACAAAGAACGGAGCCCTTGGAGCCTTTTCTGTCTCACATTTCCGGTTGCGAGTGTGGCGGCTACTGCTGCCTGCAAAATTACAGTAATTTACGCTTTTGGCCAACGGTTTGCAAATTATGCGGCCGCCTACGTGTGGTTGCAACCGCCACTTAAGGCGTCACACGTGTGTGTGTGTGTGTGTGTGTGTGTGTGCGGGGCAATTATAAAGTCATCTTGACATAATCAAAAGTGACAATTACAGCCATTGAACAGGAAGACGGGCAGGAACACCGCCTAGGAACAAGCCTATGATTAGACCCCTCTGGGGCTGGGGGCGGGGGTGGGTGTGGGGGTGAAGTCAATGCCGTATAGCGGGATATTATTGGTAATATCTGGGTTGCAACTGACAACATTAGGTGGCAGCCAGTCACGCGTCATTAGCCCGGACGGCAGGTGGCAATCAACACACAATGACAGTCCATCGCGAGAGAGAGAGAGAGAGGGCTAGAGAGCCTATGAGAGGGTGTCGGGAACTGTGAGAACTGTGTTTGCAGTGCCGATCGATCTTCTCGCTGGGGTCCTACCTGCCAAATGTTTGGATAAGCCAAAGACAGGAGTCACATCCAGATCCAGATCCAGATCCAGAGATGATGAATGATGATGGCTCGACGAGAGACTTCCCTGACACTAATCCGGCCCGGAGAGGGCATCAACAAGGGGGCAAGGGAGGGGGGGGGGAACTGATATGCAAATTTGTTTAAGCCTCAAACTAAACGTTAATTTTCTGTAAGCGGCTCTCGGCTAACAAGGGGAGGGAAAGGAAAAGCCTTTCCCCAGATACTTTCAACATTGTAATACCTCAATAATCTTACGGGGACACACCTCTCTCACACTCTCACAGGCAGACAGACAGTTATAAATCTCATTAAAAGGTTATTGACTCGCACGGGCCCAGGCCCAGGCACCAGGATTAACAAGCCGGAGAGAGGGGCCAGGACACACACAAAAAAAAAAACACAGAGAAGAGTAGAGTATAAGCGCAGACCAGGCCCAGGCCCAGCCCCAGCCCCCGAGACCCTTTTTCAGCTCGGCTAAATTTTCTTTCTTTTTACGCTTCAATTAATACAAAAGTGTCTTCGTGGAGAGCGGTCGGTGGTACTTTCCCCTCTGACAACTCCACTGACAGGCACACTGACATGCAGTTAAGGAGTTGCCTAACCCTAACCCTAACCCTAACCCTAACCGTAACCCTAACCCTATGCCCAGCCTCTGTGGCCCTCTGCGGGATGACAAATAAAAAAAATCTGGCAAGTCGAAGGCCTCAACAATTTATGCAAATTAATTTAGAAATGTGTCTCTGTCCACCCTCAAGTGTCAGTCAGAGACATACATCAAACGAACAGCCATTGAGAGTGGGCGAAATAGACAGAGAGAGAGAGCCTCTATGGGGTATCGCAACGACTTTTGTAATTAAGAATGCATATCAAGTGGTAAATAAATGCCTGATGATAAAACACAGAAAAAAGATACACAGACCAAGAAATGCGAAAAGGTTTCAAGAGGTGGAAACGAATGGGTAGAGCGGCGGCAGGGGGTACAGCAGTCATGGTGGAGAAGAGACTGGTTAGAGTGGTTTAAGAAGGACTCAGAGATGCTAAGAGCTTGGAGAGAGAGGGAAAACAGTAACCTGGGAAGGAAGTTGGCGGAAAGAGAGGACTTAAAAGGTTGAATATTGAATATTGCGCTCATTCAAAAGTGCTGATCGGTGCTTTGGACAAGGAATTTGACTATTGTGAGGAGCTAAATATGTGTTGCGCCTAAAACCTATTTCAAATGACATCGTTCGGGTCAACAGAAATGGCTCAAAATGGTTTGCCGCATCAACTAGTTGATTTAAACAAAATTATCTTTTCTTTAGTCAGTTTATTCATTCCAAAATCTTTAAAAATTCTTTTTAAAATATATGCAAACTCAAATGAATTTTACCCACGCCCTGAGACGAGTCTTTGACCCAACCTCTGGCTACCAAGCGGAGAGAGTAACCACAAAAGTTCAACCACAAGAGCTGCAGATACAAATACCAAAGAAGTTTACCTTTTGAGAGGAATCCCTCCTGCACTTTGTCGATTAAAAACAAAGGGTAACCGCCAAGAAGTCTTGGCCTCTGCAGCCATGGAAGGTGAAGTATCTGAGGCTTTGTGGGGGGGAGAAGTATCTGAGGCAATGGCAGGCGAAGCTTCGAAGCGGTAAAAGGATAACTGGCGACTTCAAAAAGCTTGTGTAAACGCATCGCAGGGCGGCATCAAGGAAATCGACTTTCGCCAAATGCAAATACTGTAAAAGCATATCTTGAACCTCATTGAAAAACGGGAATCTCCTGGCATTCAGGCACGCACTCTCTACGCACATTTAATGCGGTCAATGAACCGGGAGTGAGGAGAGTCCCTGACTCGGCAACTCCGATGCTACTGCCGCTGCCGCCGCTGCTGCCTCTGCTGTCAACTGCAAGAGCTGCAAGATGCAGGTTAGGGTTACGTTGCCCCTGCACAGAGCCAGGGACTTGCCTGCCTTTTTACTTCCTTTATTTTACTTGCATATACCCTAGCAGAGGGAGCCACGATTTGGCTGAGAGGTGGAGATTACCAACCTTTTGGGGGATATACAGGCATGGCTGAACAGCTTCCACCGACGATTTGGAGCCATAGCTTTGAGATATAATATCTACTGCCTTTTATAGAACACGAAGAGGAATCACCAGTCAATAAAGCACCACATCTACGAGTATATATGTATGAAAAATCTCTAAACAATATCAAAATGTGTCATAAAAAATGTAATAAATTGGTTATTCCGCTCATCCGAAAGTGATGATTGATTATGTATAGGGTATCACTCGCTTCGATTCGATAGCTTATTTTTGTTCCCTTATTTATTTTTTTTTGCATTTGCAATTGCATGGCAAAACCTCAACATCTGCTGAAATGTGCGTAGCAGCAACCCCATTGTGCCACCAGTAGGGTAAGTGTTAAAAACAAAAGGAGTCCCCGTTCCCGTCCCCCTCGACCCCTCCCGCTCCCCTGGCGTACTCGTGGCTCACCTTCATGTCCCATAGTCGCCCACCAAGGGGGGAAATTATCATGTCATGTCATTGCGTGTCTTCTATTTGCATTCGGGGTTTTCATTTTCATTTTTGCTGCAATTTCCACTTATTTTTTTTCCTATATATTTTGCCTAGGATAGAGTAGTGTCCTATGAGGGCGTTTTCATCTACAGTGGGTATCATAGACATAAGGCGTGGGTAAACAAATGCCAAAAGATAATGGCGAAAAAGTTAATTAATTTCACAGGATTGGAGGATTATTTACAATAGATATTTTTGTATTATTTTATTGAATTTTACACCTGTCTTATGGCAGTGAAACGCACTGTATATATATTGGGTAACATCTGCTTAAAAATAATTGCAAGTTTGTGAGAGATTTTAATGGTCTGACGGCGTGCGGCGGCCCCTCAGGACATGCTAAAACTGTGCTAAAATATCATAGTTTATGGGGGAATGGGTTTGGGCTGGGGCTGGGACTGGGACTGGGTTGGGTCCTGTCCCATGTGGCAACATGTGGGTACTTATGCAGAGTAGAATGTTCGCTTGTCATTGCAAAACTTGTGTTTAATTAAAACGCTGCTAATATCAGTTAATTTCTACTCATTAAATTGTGACACTTTATGGGAATGGGAATGGGAGTGGGCCATATCGAATGGGTTCTAATCGAGGCTATATCTCAATTGTGTGGTGCAGGAAATAAGCTGGAATGTGGCTTAGTTCTTGCCGAATATTTTCAACAGATTGTATGGAAATGGGGGGTTCTTCCAATGGTTATATGGAGGTGCTAAAGACTGTTTTTTTTTTCAACATATTGCACACAATCAAATAACAATAAAAGACAGAGCCACACCCGGTCGAGAGTTCTACATCAAATTAACGCTAATTAACAACAAAAGAGATCCGAAACGGGGAAACGGGCAACCGGAGGACTGCTCATAATTTACTTCATTACAATCGTTGATGAAAACAATCAACGGTAATTCACACAACTACCAAAAACGCACAACAACAACAGCAACAACAAAAAAGGGAAGAAAATCTACATAAAGAGGACGAAAAAAACTACCCACAAAAAATGCCGAGTGTCAAGGAGCGGGGCAACAATTAAAGGCGACAACAAACAGCCCCGTTGACCCCCGGGCTGGGTCAGAGGGGGTGGCTACACCCCTCACCACCCTCCTCTTTGGTATAATGACATCCCGGGACACACAGAAATCAAAAGGCATTCCTCCCGCAGCGAGTGTTGATTAGATATATGGCCAGTGCAGTACAGTTGCCTCATCCGTGAAATATGTGTGTCTGTCGGGGGCCGCGAGGGGTGGGTTTTTCGTTTCGGACATCGGGGCACACCTGAAAGCCATAACCTGTCTGGCGGCTAGTCCGGGGGTTGCGACTGTACACGCATGTGGCTCATAAAAGATACATTTATAATGGTCAAAAGATACTTATGGTCTCTGAACAGTTATACATAACAATAATTTGGTAATTGCCAGACAATCGTAACATTTGTACGTATCCATTCTCTCGCCATTGCGTGTTCATTTCAATTTGGACCTGGGCCATGCGGGTGGGTGGATGGATCGATCGATGGACGGATGGATGTCCTAGGAAGAGGAACAAGTGTGCCCCGAATATTATTTATGGCAATTATAAGCAATTTCTGATGTTATTTGGCTGTCCGTGAATGATGTCTTGAGGTTAAACCCCTGACGTTAAAATGGAGCACGTGCTCCGGCTCCGGCCGTGCCGGGGGCAAAGATGTGATAAGATTTCATTGG